AAACAGGAACCCTCATACACAGCTGGTGGGAATGCAAACTGGTGCAGCCTCTATGGAAAACGGTATGGAGATTCTTCAAAGACTTAGAAATACCCTATGATCCAGCTATCCAACTACTGGGAATCTATCCAATGAACCTGAAATCAACAATCCAAAGAGGCTTATGCACCCCTATGTTCATTGCAGCATTATTCACTATAGCCAAGAAGTGGAAACAGTCTAAGTGTCCCTCGACTGACGATTGGATCAAGAAGATGTGGTATATATATACAATGGAATACTACTAAGCCATAAAAAAGACAAAATCATCCCATTTGCAACAACATGGATGCGCCTGGAGGGTATTATGTTAGGTGAAATAAGCCAGAAAGAGAAAGACAAACACTGGATGATCTCACTCATATGTGGAATATAAACCAACACATGGACAGAGAAAAGTGTATTGTGGTTACCAGGGGCAACGGGGGTGGGGGTGGGCACAAGGGGTGAAGGGAGACATATGTATGGTGATGGACAAACAAAAATGTACAACCCAAAATTTCACACTGTTATAAACTATTAAAACATCAATAAAAAATGTGTGTGTCTATTTATATATAAACTAAATTACAAGAGATGCATATTTTTTGAGTTGTGAAGGGATAATTTTAACTTGGTAAAATTGTTCATACACACATACTAATTCAGGGATTCTTAACTCCATAGGGTGGCCTATAAAACTATTGGTGAAATTACATGCACAGTTTTGTGTGTAAGTGCTTTTATTCTGGGGAAAATGGAGCGTTTTAGTGTAGTGATCTAGAACTGGGATTCTGGAGACAGATCTGGTCCTAGCTCATGCCACTTCACTAGCTCTGTGGCTTTGCACAAATTACTTATCCTCTCTTGGAATCAGTCTGTTTGGCTGTAAAAGGAATAATGGTAGGGCTGTGAAGATTACATGAGGTACAGATGTAAAGGGTAAACTCTGCACTGCATTTCTTAAGACACTCGGTTAGCTATTGATTTTATCTGATTTTTCAAACGATGTTCCTGAGAGGAAGCAAGCCACTGCCATGACTCCCTTCACAGTATTAGCAGGGTTCCCTGTTTACACAGAAGTGTGGTTATTACACAGGGAACAGCTATTCACTGAAACGTCTTGGGCAAAACTGGACAATAAATAGGTACTTAAGAAATCAAATGACTATTCCAAGAGATCACAGGGCTTAAAGTCTTAGAGAAAGAAGAAACATCTTCTGTGATCCCAAAGGATGCTGCAACTTGCCAGCTGCAGATGCCAGTTGGGCAGGTGGGAGTTTGCAGGTGAGTGCAGTCCTTGTGTTCAACATGTGGCATAATCTCTGTGAGGACGGGACAAATTTTGTGTTCGATCTTAGACTATAGAAAAAGTAAACGCTGAAGTTTCAAAAAGAGAAGTGTATTTCTTTATCTTCTTTCAAGAATATTTTGGACATTTACCTTGTTTCATGATGATAGAAAAAACCTTATGGAGACATCACTCTGTTTTCCTGGTTTCCATTGATTGCTATCATTTATTACAATATCTGAACTCACCTCCCCTCTCTTTTTTGTACTGTCTCTTAATTTTTATTTGGGCCCAAATATCATTCTGCTACATAGTCTGGCCAATTGTAATTATTTTTTGTCTTCTGCTGGTATTGTTAGAGTAATTTTTTTCTTTTTTAAATAAAGAGTATTGGGGCTGGCCTGGTGGCACAGCGGTTAAGTGCTCCCGCTCTGCTTCGGCAGCCTGGGGTTCAAAGGTTCGGATTCTGGGCGTGCACCAGTGCACCGCTTGTCAAGCCATGCTGTGGCAGCGTCCCATATAAAGTAGAGGACAATGGGCGTGAATGTTAGCCCAGGGCCCATCCTCCTCAGCAAAAAAAAAAAAAAAAAAATAGGCATGGATGTTAGCACAGGGCTGATCTTCAAAAAAAAAAAAAAAAAAAAAAATCAAACCAAAGAGACACATTTTGGGGTGGCAGATTCTGATCCATCACAGGCTTAAGGGCCAAGAAAAGAGATTTGTTCCCACCTCAGGGCCTTTGCACTTGCTGTAACCTTTGCCATTTCCCCTTCCCACATGCTTAGTTCCTTCACTTTCTTCATGTTTTGCTTCTTCTTCTCTCTGTTTTATTTTTTTCCTTAGCTCTTATTTAACATATTATTATGTTCTATCTCCTGCCCACTCCTGCTCACTGGAAAGTAACCACTATGAGGACAAAGTTTTATTCATTTTGTTTACTGCTGAATTTCTAGAATCTAGAACAGTTTAGGGCACATAGTGGAAGCCTAATAAATATGTGTTGAATGAAGACACGGTGTTTGGAGGAGTTGAAGCTGGGTAACTGAGGGTTACTGTAAATATTCAATAAGAATCTGATTACCCTTTGACCTTGTTCCCAACACAGACACAGACGAAAAGAAGTTAATCTTGTTAATTGCTATTTTCTTGTTTAACCTGAGGGGTGACTCAAGGGTCACAAGGATTTATGAGTTTGTTTTGCAGAAGAAAAAGAATGCCTTCAAGGAAGTTACGATCACCAGATAACCAGGCCCCAGAAGCCAACCCCAGAAGTCTGATTGCTCAAGGGCTTATCTGGAGTGAAAGAAACATGGATTTCCCCTTTGTTTCTCTGAAACTCCTTCTCCTGAGCTCCTTAGCTCTATAAAACGCCCAGCTTTCTTCTTTTCTTAAGGCGAATTTGAGAGAACCTATCCTCTTGCCTTCTCAAAGTTTTGGTCAATTTGAATAAAGCTTTCTCCATCTCCAAGCACCTATGTCTCAGTGATTGGCTTATTGTGCATCAGGCACACAAACTTGAGATTAAGAGGTTTGGTATCAGAGTTAAGTGTCCTGAATGCTATGCCCAGGAAGCTCTGTGTTTTCACTACTGTAGAAAATGGTATCTCAAACTTCCAAGAAGTGACTCAAGGGTGGCCTCCAGCTCTGGGCTCCAACAATGTACACACTGCTGCAACATGCAATGGAAGCAGAATTGGGGCCATATTTCATCCCATGCATGGGGGTGCTCTGGTCTTTGGCAAGTTGGTTGCTCCGAAGGTGGGGGTGCATAGTGGGGAGCAGCTGGGAAGCTCCCCTGATCAGCCGTTTTCTGGGGTGGAGGGACAAGGCAGGCAGATGAGTTCCAGACCAGTCCTGGGGGCAGAGGCCCATAAGGGCTGAGGATGCAGCCTGAGGGGAGCCAGTCCACAAGGGCAAACCTCAGAGCTGCCACCAAAAGAGGGCAGGCACCAGCTGACTGACCACAGGCCTCTGGGTTCTAAGGCCCTTGGCATTTTAAAACCACCCCCGCTCCCACCTCCCCTGTAAAAAACACCTTGCAACAGGCCAAGAAATATTGCAGAAACAATTGCCTCTCATTGAATTTTGCTATTTTAAGTAAGTATAAGCTTGAACACTTAATAAATAAAAGTATTAGTTATCAGCAAAAACAGGCACAACACAGTTGTCAGGAAAAAATGAAAAGACTTTGAAATGGGCAGACAAGATTACTGGATGTCCTGCATCATGTGTGCCATTGATTGTCTTTGAGTTATTTTTCTGTGTAACTTTTCTAAAAGGAATAATGCAGATGATTCTTCTCCATAGAAATAGAGATAAAAGAAGGAAGTGGGAGGGGGTGCAGAGAGGGGTGTTGGGTGCAGGCCCAAAGGCACTGGCAAGGGTGTGGAGGTGCGAACAGTTTCCTCTTCGAAAGAATTAAGGGGAGTAATAAATACTCCTTGGAGGTAGCGAACTCGCTTTGCAAACTGTTTGGGGAGACGGGGGTCGCTAGGAAAGAAAACTGAGCAGCGGCGGCCCAGATGCAAGGGGCAGGGTGGGGGGGGGGGGAAGGGGGGCAGCCCCAGAGAGGGATCTGGGGCGCGGAGAGGGAGCTGGGGAGCGGGGCGGCCCCAGGGAGGGGACGCGGAGGGGAAACCCAGCAACTCCGGGGCGGGGCGCAGCGCAGCGCCGCCGGAGCCCGAGCATGGAGGAGGCCGAGGCGCCCCGCGGAGCTGCAGGTGAGGGGAGCTGCGGCCAGCGCGGCCCGCGCCTGCCCGCCCGCCTCCCTGGCCGTCCGCCGCGCCGGCCCCTCCCCGCGGGTCGGGTTTCAATGGCTGGGCCGGCCCCAGAGCTCCGGGCCCCCGCGCTGCGAAACGAGACCGTAAACAGCGCGCCGCGGCCAAGGAAACTTTCTCCGGAGTCGGCGCCAGGGCGCCGCGAGCCGCGCACCTGTCGCCGCCGGGAAACGAGATGGGCAGGCGGGCGGGCGGCCCAGGACGTGGGGTGAGGGGCCCACGGGGCTCGGGCGCTCACCCCGGGAGGGGCAGCCCCGGAGGGTCTCGGTCACGGCTCTCCCGGCCATGCGGGCGTCGGAACCGCTGACCTGGGCTTGCGAGCTCCCTGCCTTCCCGCAGCCTCGGTGGCCGTGTCTGTGAAATGGGAACCGCACGGTGGGGAGAATTCAGTGCAGCGGCTCGGGTTAGGGCGGGCGCCCCGCGCCCCACTCTGAGACTGCCAGTTCCGGCCCGGGCGCCGTGCGCGGCGGCCAGCGGGGAGCCTGGAGTTGAGCGCGCGCCCCCGAGCCCACCCACTCCGGCGCCCCAGATGGGGCCCAAAGCGGTGCGACTTCGGAGTCTGAAAGCACGTGGGACAAATCCCAAAGGGGTTTCCGCCTGTCCAGCAAAGGAGGGAGTGTTTGGACGCGAGCAGGCGTAGGAACGTTGGATGCTGAGAAAGTGCCTCTTCCCTCCTGCATCCTTTACCTTCTTCCCGTGGGGACCGGCGGCAGGAAGGGCCCCTTGGCCGGGTCCTCCCCTCCCCTACACGTCCAGTCTGGCCCGCGAGTGCAGTCAAACCCCAGACCCCACTTTCTCCCGCCGCACATCTCCCTAAGGAAAAAGCTGATCTTATAGAGGCTCCTCTGCCTTTTATTGGAAGCCAACAGCGGGGAATTACTTGTTTTTATGACCTGCATTTAAAAGCTGTGACTCTGAGTTGTGTTTCCCCTGATTTCAAGTGAGTGAGTTAAGGAGAGAAGGTCGCCAGTAGCCAATTGTATGAATTAGTTATATTCCTCGTGAAAGTTTTCATTGGTCTAGACATTGAGAAAGGGTTTTGTCTCTATTTTTAGAGGGGGAGATTCTGTTCGTTTTTTATTTTTTCCTATGGTCGTTTCTGGAAAGCTGGCCGTCATGGCTGTGGATAGTGGGTGCTGTTGCCAGTTTATATGTTTGAGAACTAGGGCAAGAAAAAAAGTGACTTGCTCTTTTGATCTCATCTTTCTCATCCCCCAAATAGAGAAGATTTTGTCCACTTAGGGACTTATTGTACAAAAATATCTCATACATTTTAAACGCTTAGCCAGCCTGCACACAGAGTTGCTCAATCCAAGCTTTTCCCTTCTCTAGGCCTCAGAGTGGTGCCATGAGTCAGAGAGTTCCTCTCAACTATTGCCTTAGAGCTGTGCTATTCTACCCAGTCCTGCTCCGTTTTAATGGGAAAAGTAATGGTAATTTCATCTTCTGGAAAAGCATAGTTTGCCAAAACAGTTTAAGGATTTTCCTGTATTTATTTCAGCGTTCGCTGTGGCTTTCGTGGTTGCTGATGGCCCAGATGACACACAGCAGTTGCTCATTAATCATTTCCACATGTGCTCGATCCTAATGGATTGGAGTTTTACATAGCTGAACCGCTGCCCACGCTTTGATAGCCCATTTCCAAAAAGGGCTTGAGCAAATCATGTCTACGTGGGAATCCTTTTTCCTTTAGCGAGGAAGCATTACACTAAGACTTATGCTTTCAGATGAGGCTGTTTCCCAGTCCCCACTTAGGTCTAGCGATAAAATGTAGAGAAAGGCCAGTAACATTCCCCTGGGAGCTGTGTTCTGTATCCAGATGAGGCTCCTCAATATTGGTGTGTCTGGTTGAGGGGGACTAGCCAGTGTGCTTTGGGGATACCCCCCAATAATTCAAGACCTGCCCCAGGGCCACACACACGTTCTCGCTCTCTCTCTGAGAGGGTGTATGTGTTCTTAGTTTCCCTGATGCTGGAGACCTTCTTGGGTTCCACAGACCATCTGTTGCTGTCATGTCAGCTTGGAGTCTAGTCGAAAGGAGAAAGAAAGTCAGACATAGTCTGGTTCTGTTACTCCCCTCATCCTTTATCTCCACCTTCCCTCATCTGTGAAATAAGGACTTGACCTGCCTCGTAAGGATAAGGTGAGACCCTGTGTCTGTCAGAGCCAGCTGCTGGGCCTGTAGTGAAATTTAGAATAGGCTCGGAGAAGGCCACTTGTTTTTTACCCCCTCCCTTCTGTTTACACACAAAATGGAAGCGTTTGTGAGAATTACCTATTTTATGATCTCCATTTAGGAAGTGGGTTTACTGTTCCAGGTTAGAAAAGTTAGGTGTTGGACAGTTTGCACTGGTAATAGAGCAGAGCTTTACAGACAGGAAGCTAGCAAGTGAGGAGGAAAATCCAGGACGACTCTGAAGCTTGGGTTGGGGGAACAGGGATGGTGATGACACCAATAAAGGAACTCACTCTCAGAGGGGTTACACATGATGCAATCTAGACAGAGTGATTTCAGACTGTTTCAGAACATGCCTCCTGTTGGAGATACTGAAGAGTTAGTCAGAAACACTAACCCCGGAGTGTAGGAGGAATCTAGAAAGGCCAGGGCCTGCCCTGAGCTCTCTTGGGGACCCCTGTTGCTGAGTGGAGAGAGAGCAGAGCAGTTGGAGGCCTGGGAGGGGCGTCCCCTGGGAGATGGGAGGAGAGGGGGAGCTGAGTGCACAGCTGGAAGGCTCAGAGAGGGAGAATTTCTGAGAAGCTGGTTTGGAGATGAGGACCCACAGGAAGAGAGACCAGAAAGAAAAGAAGCCCGTGGGGAGGGCCTGGTGCTGAGGGAGGCTGAGGCAGGGGCAGACCTGGGTCGGCCCAGAAGGAGGGTCAGGGGAAGAAGAGAAAGGGGTTGGCATGTCGCAGGACCCTGAAGGAGGCCAGGCATAGCTGCTGTTTCAAAAGGGCTTGCAGGGACAAGGAGGGGGAGAAGGCCGAGCTTGAGGTGGTGGTACGAGAGAGGAAGGTGGCTTTTCCCTTGCGTATTTGGGTGGAGGAGACTTGTATTCATTTTTGGTAAACTAACCCTTAGGAGCACTCTACTGTATGCCAGGTATTGGCTGAGCCTTTTCTAAGCGTTACCTTGACTGATGCTCATAATGAGTAAACACAGATACCGTTGTTATCCCCATTTCACTGTCGAGGAAGCTAAGGCACGGAGATGAAGTGGCTAGTAAGTGGCAGTGTTGGGATTCAAATGGGGGAGTGGTGGTGGTGGTCTGATGACCCAGAGAAAGGAACCTGACATGAGGGTGGGGTTTGAAGTGGAGCCCCCACCCCCAAAACAGTGGAGGCTCTTGAAGGAAATAATCCATGAGCCAGTTCTGCAGAGATGACCTCGTGTTAACATACAACTTAAAAACCAAAATCAAATATTCATCAGCCACTTTGGATCTTCTCTAGTTCAAGGTGCAGAAGGGTCCCCAGAGAGGAACAAGGACTTGGCGAGTTTGGGGATCTCAGTTCCTGGGGAGCAGGGCCTCACTGGGGCAATGGGCGAGGGCTGGGCAGGGCATTGGGACCCCTATCACTGTCACTAAGTGTTTTTGTGGCCCTCAGCACGTCTCCATGCCTTCATCAGGAGGGAAGGGAAAGGACTGGAGGAGATGGCTGTGACGTCCACCTGGCCGTGCAGTTTATCTGTTACTTCTGGCCCAACGAGACTGCGATCTCCCTGAGGGCAGGGCCCTTACTGATCTCTCTGTCCTAGCGCCCTGCTCGCACCTGGCACACAGCAGGGACTCCATGAGCAGTGAATGGAGGAGTCGTTTCCTTTTAGGTGCTGGTGAAGACCTGTGTTGTTTCCATGGTTATAGGAAGGATCGATCGCTGGGAGGAGCTTTCTACAGATTGGGTGTATCAGGATGTGGGGTGATGCAAGCTGGTCTGCCACCCCGGGGAGGAGTGCTTCTAGTCAGCCATCCCCTGGAATGTCTCTCCAGGGGTCCTGCTCTTCCTGGGAGGCCGGCTCCTAAGTGGGTCCTCCTAATGGCCTGGCCATACTGTATGCCCCCCTTCTGTTGGTTATGATTCCTTGCCATGTAATGGTATCTATCCTGTAGATGGTTCTTGTTCACCCCCATTTCTAGACATCAAGGGCCATGTTATATCTTTATTAAACAGGGGATCTCTACTGCGTGAGGCCTGGCCAGAGATGGCTGGAGTCCTGACCTTCTCCAGGATCCTGCCGTGCCCTGGCAGGATAGAGTCAATGACCGGGAGGCCAGAACTCGGGCGGGGCCATGGGAGGGCTGTGGGCACTCAGGTGTTGTCTTTCTGACCTTTGAAACCCTAGTCTGGTGACTGGCTGACTGGCCTTAGCTGGGTTCCTGACAGCAGCTGGCTCCTGGCTCCTCTGATGACATTCTTATTTGTAGCTCAGCCCTGGGAAATTCCAAACAGAGGCTTGTAGAAAATGGCTGTGTTTTTTGCTGAGTTGTGTGGTATAGAAATAAACTTCAAGGCAAAATTCAAGCACATTTGTTGGTCAGATGCCCCTGGTGTCACCTGACTTTTCAAGTCAGGGTTACTGCAGGGGGCAGTTGCAGTTCAGTGACTGTCGGTAGCAACTGAAGGTGGGGCCTTTGAATAACGCTTATTAGGATGTAATAGCTGTGGTTTACAAATTCCATGCCTTTTAGTGCACCCATCCTCTGTTGCGGGTTTTCTTTTCCAAAGCCAGTGATCAGCAAGCTTGGGTGGGGGTGGGACACACAGTGTGTGTGAATCCAAAGGCCACTGTCTGTTGAAACCCAGGTATGTCATCCCTGCCCCGCCGTTCTCTGGCCCACTGGGAGCCCGCTCACATCAAACCCTTTGCATTCCCTGTGCCCAGGCCGTGGCCTCATTTCCTGCTTAAACCAATGCCTATTGTCTGTCAAGGCATTACTTCTGAC